AAGACAAGCCATCAATTTTAATGTCACTGAGTGCAAAATATTCACTGATGAGGTTTCAGATTTCATATCACAACTAACCTTTAAGAAACTACCATGTGTTGAATAATAGTACAGTATGAACGAAAAAAGAATCCAAAATTACCTGAAAAGGCTATTACAACACTTCCTGGCTGGACGCAGTGGCTCACACCTGTAATCCCAGCACTTTAGGAGGCTAAGGCGGGCAGATCACTTGAGGTCAGGAGTTCAAGACCAGCCCAGCCAACATGGTGAAACCCTGTCTCTACCAAAAATACAAAAATTAGCCAGGCATGGTGGCAGGTGCCTGTAATTCCAGCTACTCCGGAGGCTGAGGTGGGAGAATCGCTTGAACCTGGGAGGCAGAGGTTGCAGTGAGCGAGATCCCGCCATCGCACTCCAGTCTGGAAAACAAAGCGAGACTTTATCTCTCAAAAAAAAAAAAAAGAACAAAGAAGCACTCCCTTTTCCAGCTATATATCTATGTGATGCTGGATTTTCTTCACATTCTTCAGCCAAAACAAAAAAATACTACAACAAATTGAATGTAGAAGTAGATATGAGAATTCTTCTTCTATTAAGTGAGACATTAAGGAGATTTTCAAGAATGTGAAACAATGTCTTTCTTCTCGCTAAATGTTTTTGTTTTGAAAAATAGTACTTTACCATAAAAATGTTACTTATAATATGTAATGGGTTTTCCATTGTCGTTTTTAAATAAATTACTAAATATTTTTAATTTTCTCTATTTGAATTTCTAACATGGCAGCTATCAAGAGAATTAACGCACACAAACAAAAGCTCTTCAAGTTCTTCCATAATGTCCGGAGTGCGGACTCCGAAGGCACACAGGCCTGGGCATGTCCACGCAGAGCCCGTGTCTCTGCTGTGGGCAGCACCTGATCTCCCTGCACAGGACCGGCTTCTGTGATCACACCTCGCCAGGGCAGGACGGCCTGCACTCCTAGCCATGAGCTGGTGGGACAGTTCCCTCCAATTCACTAGCGTCGGCCAGTGGAGTCAGCGTTCTTCACTCCTGGGGGACCTCTCTTTGCTGTTAAGGAGTCCCGCGATGCACATTAGGCAGTCGTGGTCATTAGACAGCCGTGGTTATATGCTGCTGATACGGTTTGGATCTCTGTCCCCACCCAAATCTCAGGTTCAGCTGTAATCCCCAGTGCTGGAGGCGGGGCCTGGCTGGATGTGGCCGGATCATGCGGGCGGTTTCTAATGGGTTAGCCCCATTCCCACTAGTGTTGCGCCATGAGTTCTCCTGAGACCTGGTTGTTTAAAAGTGTGTGGCACCTCTCTCTGCCCCTCGCCCTCCTGCTCTGGCCATGTAAGACACGCCAGCTTCCCCTTCACCTTCTGCCATGATTAAAAGTTTCTGGGCCGGGCACGGTGGCTCACGCCAGTAATCCCAACACTTTGGGAGGCCAAGGTGGGTGGATCACAAGGTCAGTAGTTTGAGACCATCCTGGCTAACACAGTGAAACCCCGTCTCTACTAAAAATACAAAAAAATTAGCCGAGCGTGGTGGCGCATGCCTGTAATCCCAGCTACTCAGGAGGCTGAGGCCGGAGAATCACTTGAACCCGGGAGGCAGAGGTTGCAGTGAGCCAAGATCGCGCCACTGCACTCTAGTCGGGGCAACACAGCAAGACTTTGTCTCAAAAAAGAAAGTTTCCAGAAGCCTCCTCCACTATCATTCCTGTACAGCCTGTGGAACAGTGAGCCAATCAAACCTCTTTCTCTAAAAATTACCCAGTCTCAGTACTTCTTTAAGCAGCGTGAGAACAGACCAGTTCAATCCCCTAATGTTTCCAGGCATTTGTCAGTGGAAGAGTGGCTTGTTCTTTTTCCTAGTGTGCCGTCTTACTGAGGCTGAGAGCCTCCTCTCCCAGCACGCTGTCCTCGCCTCCATCAGCTGTCCTCTCCCCCTGCTCCATCCCACCAGGCTCTGAGCTTCTTGGGGACAGCAGGGTCATGCTGACTCACACACCCAAAGTCTTCCACCTCCCTGAGCACCTGTCCAGGGCAGGTGCTTCACACATTCTGGCAAAAACAACCAAGTTAATTACTGAAAACAAGGAGAATACAGAATCTCAAATTGAGGCTCCAAGGTGAACCAAAAACATAGTTACGACTATCCAGGACATCCAAGGGTTAAAAAAATAGACAGATGTGGCTTCTGCCCTCTGGAACTTCTCCTGCAAATGGAACTCGCTTCTGTATTTCAGCTAGGAAAGAACACAGAGCAGCCAACTTGGGTTCTAGAACATGCAGGTCGCCCGGGCAATGGGCTTCATCTCTCTTGGTCTCAGCCTTGCGTGCAGGGTATAACCAAACCCCAGCCCGTTCTGCGAATGCCCATGCCAAGAACCACAGTCACGCTGGGGACAGTGTTAGTTCCTCATACTCATTCCCAGGGTGACGACCTATCAAGAGGCCCTTTAAGATCCTCCTCCTGGTGAGGAAGAGCCCCGGGCATATAGTTCTGGTTCAGCAGCTCCACTAAAGTCTGCAGCCATGGCGAGGACGGTCACAGAGCCGATTTGAATGAGCATGGCCTTGACAGGACACTGGGAACAGTGGGCGGAGGCCACGCTGAGAGCCTGCACTTCCGAAAACCAAGAAAGAGCTTTCCCAGGGGTTTCAATCAGGGCAGTGATATGGTGAAAAGGGTGCCTGAGGAAGATGGTTCTAGCAGGTCCAACAAGAATGAAATGCAGACGGTAAGACCAAGAGTTGGGAGGGGAGCTGCGAGGCAGAGGCGGCCAGGTCCCCGGGGGCTGACACACCGGCCCGCATGTCGCCTTGGTTTTAAGTGAGTGCACGTCCTCATACTTCTCTAAACTTAAAACAGCGGCAGTGCTTATAAACACTAAACGGTCCCCGAGAGGAGCTCTGCTGGGCAGCCCTGCCTACAGCGATCACAGCCGAGCTGCGAGGCCCCCGGACGGTGGGAACGGATATCACTCAACTCCTGCTCCTCGGAGGGTCACGCGGAATCCGCTGTGCCATGTGAGAGACAGATAAATGGCTGCCAGGGGCCCACGATGCACCGTAAACACCTACGCTGGGAAAGCAGGATCCCCTCCACCTGCCAGGCCTGCCGATAAACCATTTCAGCAGACCACAAATCTCAGGTGAAAAATGAAAAGCCAGCATCGATTCCATTGTACAGCAGATTCTATTTACAAATAGAGGCCAGATAATCTTGTATTTAAATGGCACAGTTCCATCACTCACAATCAGAAGAGTGACATTTGAAATTTATAAAGTTTTACATTATGATTCAATCCTTTTTCTAAGGGGGGCAAAAAGCCAAAAGGTCTAGGAGAAAGATAAAATGTATGAAAATATTAGCAAAGCAGAGGAAATGATAAATTGGTGCTTGCGCCAAAACATGTCTCCAGCGGGTACATTTTTCTTTACAAAGAACAAAGTCAGTCACAAAGAGTCAGGATCAGCCAACAGATACCAGGTCTCCAGTCTCCAACCACACAGCAGGCTTCTACTTTCAAAATCTAACAGCAAACCACACATCTTTCCTCAACAGAACCTTTTAGCTAAAATATTCAAAATTAAACTTGGAGTCTAAACCTGAGACCTCACGTTATAAAAGCCGTATTAGATGATTTCAAATCATGCAGATCAGCTGAGACCTCTTCACTTAGCACTATCAGGAACTACCTTTACCACAGTGGCTCAGGAAGAGCCACGCCCTGCAGGAAATGCAGGTGACAAGTGACATCCAACCACGTCTCTGTGTCTTTCAGGTGAGGCCCTCCTTTTAGCTGGGACAACAGGGATGCTGGCAGAGCACGGAGACCCTCTCAGGAGGCCCCAGCTCTTGGCAGAGGGCCACCTACTTGCAAAGACCCACGATAGCCTTGGCATTTGGTCCCTCGGAAAACGATTATCAACCCAAACTGGGCTCTGGCTTTGACCGTCCTCTGTCTGACAAGTCTTGCTTTGTCAGCAAATTCACTGTCCCCTGAAATCTACTTTTTACCACCTTTGGGCTCAAGTGTCTGTCCCCTCATGCCGTATTACCCGTCTACCCTCCCTCCCAGTGAGCTTCTGGAGCAGGCCCCACCCTTACTCGCCACTATTCCCGGGTGTGGAGCATAGCACCTCCCAGGAAGCAAGTGTCTAGAAAGATGTGCCAGTCTCAAATAACCTAAGATGCCCCCCACCCACTCGGGGGCCCGTCCATCCCCCTCAGCTGTTCCTCTGTAGTATCAGCTGGTTCCAGTCCTCATTCCTGATCGCCTACCAACAAGGCCCTTCCCAGGCACTGTGTGGATTCTGCCCCGACACCATTCCATAGGAGCAGCCCTGTCATTGGGAGACCTGTGGCTCTTCTACAGAAATCTCAGCCACTAACCCTAGCTGACACAGAGACCCACAGAGTCCCCGTGGTGCAGGGGACCCCACCAGCTCATGTTGCTCTCTGGGGACAGGCACGGCTGCAGCGTCCCACGCACCTGGAGCCCCGGCCACAGGACGAGAGGTCACGGCTGCAGCGTCCAACGCACCTGGAGCCCCGGCCACAGGACGAGAGCCTGGTGTTAAAGACCAGGAGTTGCGGCCCCCCAATCTGAGGCCCTTTAAGGGGGGGATCCCGCTAAGCACAGCTGGCCACACACATGCAGCTACCATGAGCTGTCCCATTTGGTGGTGGTGGTGGCAATGGTCTGCAGACAGCTGGGTAGAGGGGATGAGACTCTGCACCTCGCCGTCCTGCGGCGCGCTCAGCAGGACATGATGACCATTCCCAGAACAAGGGCACACACACTGTTTCTCACACTTCGTCAACCCTGAGAGGTCTGTGCTGGTCCAGATGTAACAAAGTGAGGCTTCAGAAGAGACTGCCCAGCCACGCTGAGACTCAGAAGCAGCCCAGGCACCAGGCTCTCTTCACCGTGGGAGCTGTGGGCGTGGGCTGGGTCCCCATGGGCACCTCGGGCGCTCACCTGAATGCCGTCCAGTAGCTTGCTCATGCACCAGTAGGTGTCGGCTTCAATGTTGCGCAGCACCTCTGCGGGCACGCCGGAGACGTCCACTGCATCCACCTCCTCTGCCTCTGGGCGGCGCCGAGCATGCAAAAGACAAGGAGAATTAGCCACATGGGACCGCGACCCACGAGGAGGCCCACGGAGCCAGAGCTGCGCCCACTTCCAGCTCCCTACACCCGCTCTCATCAGTCTAGCTAAATGACTCATGCAGTCTTCCACCTCATCACTTAACGCTTCTCAATCTTAATGCCTAATTAGTTGCAGATAATTAATATTCTGAATCCTCTCCAATTAATTAACATAATTAATGTATTATAAATTATTGCTTCTCAGGCATTTCACATCCTAATAAGAGAGAAAACAGAATATATTACTTAATCCTCACAGAGATCCGAAAGGTTTTTCATAAGATTTTGAAAACTCTGCTTCGGATATATTTACAAATTCAATTGGCAATAATTCCTCTAAAAACCTTTTTCCAAAGTTAAAGAGTTTCCAAAACTACCCAGGGTAAATACTTCCATGCTATGATCAAAAACCCCAGAAAGCCGTAACACAGATGTGCTTCCAAGAAAGAACAGACAATGGTGCTCTAAATAATTTCCTTTTTAAAGTATTAAAAAAAGAGAGAGAGAGAAAACAGTCTAAAAGTTTTTAAAATGCAAAACAGATGCCTAATTGAAATGGCTCATCAGATACTTGAACAAACTAATTTTAGATCCTTACAAAACTGCTGTCATCCAGCAAAATAGTCAGAAATGTTTTAAAAATTATCTACCCCATAAATTTTTTTTCACTTTAGTTTGATTTGCATGGCATCTTCACAAGGAAAATGTTCCTTAAGAAAAGAAACATTTCAGCCCAGAATATATTTAGAAAGGTTTAAGTAGATAGAAGTCACAACAACGACGAGGAAGAGAGCGCTGCGGGTGCTGACCGCAGGCTGCCCAGGGCCAGGCCGTCCCCTGCACACTGTGAGCCTGCGCGCTCCTTCCAGCTCTGTCACCACTCTGCCGTCACCACCCTTGAGCCCCTGACAACAGTGAGGTAAAGGAGGGCAGGGCCGTGGCTATCTCGAGCAGCCTGGTACACGTGGGGAGAAGGGTACAGAGGCAGCCCCACCTACTGGTCCCTGAACCCAGGTCCCTGCCTGCTCCCTGAGGACTCAGACGCCCACCTCAAGTTCCTGCTGCTGCGCAGTCCTCATCACACTGGTTCTTCAGTCGCAGCCCCGCCCATCGCTAACACACTGAAGCGTGTGACTGGGAGAGCCGAGATGACACACCACCTCCCACGGTTCTTGGTTCACCCCAGAACCAGCAGGATAAAAGGGGAAGAGCGCCTCCGTGTCTGACCCTCCAGCAAGAGTGAGCCGCTGGGCGCGTGAGGGCCTGGACAGGGAAGTGACAGCCCTGGACATCCAACGTGGCAGGTCCTGCGGGAACGCGGGAGGGTGGGCGGGTTCCAGCCCGTTGGCAGTCACTCCTCTCTCTCTGGGGAGGTGGGGGCGGGTCCTCAGTCACTCCATGGGGATTGCCTTGATTTGGTTCTGGGTTGTGTAAACTGAGAGGTAATTCCCCTGCCACGAAATCTACTCTGTAGCAAGTGCAATGCAGTGGTCTTCAGGGGGTCCCAAGGCTGCACACGTACCACACTAGTTCCAGAGCATTTCCGTCACCAGGGAAAGAAACCCCGGGCCCTTCAGCAGTCGCTCCCCACTTCCCACCCCTCGCCTGGCAACCCACTAACCCGCCTCTGTCTCTACGGAGCTGCCTATTCTGGACGTTTCACACTCTGGCATCAGGCTCCGCGGCCCTCCGTGACTGGCTCCTTCTCTGAGCACAATGTCCTCAAGAGTCATCCCCGCAGCAGGCAGTGTCGGTGCCCTACTCCTCTTCACGACTGAGCGGCACGCCCTACAGCCAGGCCACACGGCGCCTCTGCCTTCCTCGGCTGGTCAGCCCTGGGCTGTCTACACCGGCGGGGGGCGGGGTAATGTGGACACAGAGAGCCAGTCCCCTGTGTGGGATCTGTCCCTATACACCAGGCACAGACATGAGTGACAGACCTGATGCCCTCAGGAAGCTCATGAATTAAAGGGGAGAACGAGTGACTTTAAAGATTGGAAACCTCAGTGCTGGGTGTCAGAGTCACCCAGGTGGCGTGGAGAAATGGATGGGCTCCTCCAGGACCCAGGCTTGTGAAGGACGCCATTGTCCACAGCACACAGGGTGCACCCAGGCCCTCACTCTCTTGGCCGTGTTTTCACCAAACCAGGGACTGGAAGGCAGGGCCCTGTGCCCTTTCCCTCGAATGTGGGGCTAGGGTGACAAGTGCCGCTGGTTGGCCATGACCCTCCTCTGTCCCGACCCTCCTCTGTCCTGACCCTCCTCCCAGCCCGGGCGTGTCCATGACACTGGCACTCTCCTGGTGGCTCTGTCTACACACTGGCCCCATGTGGGGCTGCAGACTCTCCCTCCATCACGTGGCAAGGTGTCTGGCCTCAGAACTCTGCCGGCACAGGAGCCCGGGTTGATCTGAGCGCACCCTGTGATGAGAACCCCACAGAATCTCCCAGGGAAAGGCCCTGTCTCCCATTTCCCATGGCAGCCCAAGGTGGGAGGTATTACCTCTGCCACTTCACAGATGCAGAAACGAGGCCTCCACGCACTGCTCCGTGTGCTTTGGAAGGCAGGGGTGGAGTGAGCAGCCTGGATCCAAGTCCAGCCCCCTCGTAATGCCTTTCCTACGGGAAGGAGCGGCGGCAAATGCCAGGCGCACAACGGGAGTGTGAGTGGCCTCCCCAGGATACCACTTCCTCCCTGGGAAAACAGTTTCAGCAGAATCAACGCAACATTCTGCTGACCTGGAGTGGGTCTGATTTTATTTCCCCATCTCAGGGAACTGAATCAGCCTCAGTAATCAGCGGGCTTGCTTTGAGAAGCTGCCCTCAATGTACCCTCTTTCAAGGGCCTCCGAGGCATGGAGACATTTCCTCAGATATAATAAGAGTAAACAGGGAACCAAAGCCTCACAGACCGCAACAGCCTCTCCTCAAGTGCACAGACGAGGCTGGGCTGTCGCAGCTCTGACTCACAGAGCCAGGCGCTGCGGGCACCAGGCAGGGGCCTCACTCTCTTGGTCTGTTTAGCTGGCTTGTTATTTTACCTGAGGAAATGTCAGTGGCCTATTCTAGGTGTCATTTCTCACAATGGGCCATTTGTTACTCTTCAAGGTAATGAAGTAATGGCATTTAACTCAGAGAGCCCCCAAGGCGATTTGTCTTCTAAACGCCAAGAGAATTGGAATTACCCTTATTGTTAGAATGAGATAAATATCCCTCTCCAGAGAAAGCATCCCCCACTTTGGCAAAGGCACACAGAGTGGCACAGGACACTCTGGACTCCAGGCTGTGACAGCAGGGTCAGGGCCAGGACGAGCTGCAGAAAGCCCTCCCAGGCTGGTGTGTCTGGGCCCTGGGAGACAGCCTGGGGGTCCAAGACCACCCAGAGGAGCCCCGTCCCAGGGTGCGTGGCCAAGACAGAACTGCAGGCAAGGTCAGCAGGCTTCGCCTGGCTTCTGCCTGTGAGATGCTGGTCTACGAAACCATCTGCCCCAAGGACCAATGAGAGTCCACCGGCGTGAGAACGGGCTCTGAACACTCTGAGATGGCCAATGGCCCTGACACACTTTCATTTAGGACCATCCAACTCCAAAGGGACACACTGTCCACCAGGCACGCTGCCACCCGTGGAACCAGGAGGGAGGGAGACTGAGAAGGGAGACACGGGAGCGAGGCATGACCTGGGGAGCCTCCTGGCTGGGGCCTGCATCGACTAGCATGGGGGTGGGCACCGCTGGCCAAACTAAACCACAAGGAGGTCAGATTTATCTCCAAAACGTGTGTCACTCCAAAGGAGGACGGCGAGGACAGCACTGACACCAACGGAAAGAGAATTTTCTACTAGGGTCACAAATGGGAAAGGAAAACACAGACACAGTAATTCCAAGCAATCCCAGGGTTCAAAGGAAGAAACACGATTCAGCGGAAAAAATGATCAGTACCCAGGTGAAAGCAGAGCAGGGAGACAGAACCAGATGCCAATCGATGGAAGGCGGGGCCTAATGAAATGGCAGCCGGGGCTGTGGGCCTGAGGGGGTGTGCAAGAGCTGTCAGGCCTTGGGAGATCTGGGCTTAGAGATTTCTTTCTGGGCCACGAAGACATGCCCAAGCTGCCTAGAAGCAGCTGGCTACCAGGAGGTGGGTGACTCACAGGGCACCCCTGGACTGTGGTGAGGGCAAGGGGAGACGTACAGAACCTCAGCTTCCTCCCAGCCAGGAAGGACCGGCTGGCCCCTGGAAGCAATGACAGAGATAGGCCACTGTGGGGACTTTCAAAGGTGACATTTTTGCAAACACATAATTAAAAATAATGAAATTTAAACAAACTTGTTTCCATCTGAAATAGAGTCTGATTCTATCTTTTAGTTTCCTCATGTAATTAAGAACTAAATTAACACCGGCATGTCTAACAGTGTTCTGGAGCTGCATGTGGCCCTTTCCTCCCCTACATCAGCCACAACACCTCCCTACAAGGGGCAGCCCGTCCCCTGGGGACACCAAGTGGAGAAAAGCATGACTCCTCACCCTAAAGAGCTCTCGGGGTGGTGGGGAAGCCAAGTGCACAGGCTAGCTCCAAGGGGAACCTGGAGGAGGCAGAAAAGGTACTCCCACAGCCTTTTCCCACAGGACAGAAGATCAGCAGGCCCAAGTGGACCACAACAAAACGTGAAGTCATGGGATGTAAAAACAGACACTGAATTAAAAACCATCTTGCTTGCCTTCTTAGGTCGTAGAAAGGCTTTAAGGGATGATCTAACTAACCTTCTCTGAAATGCTGCCCGGCTATAGTATTAAGGAAAAAAAAACAATTTGTAAAACAATCCCACCTTTATCAACAGCTCCATTTACATGGAAAACTAGCACTGCATCCACATAAAGGCACGCAGAGGAGCAGCATCCAGGGACGCCACACATGGAACGTCCAAACACTCCTGCAAGGTGGAG